CTTTTCAATTTGGAATCTTACTAAAATTTTGCCCATGACATGCTAAAGCAAACTTATTCTAAAAACAGTAACTGAACCCCTTATCATCAGTTTAAAATCTTTCCTAAATTAACCATGTCAGGCTTTCTTGGAAGCTATCACTCTTCACCACTACCATTTGCAGATTCTAATGAAAACTCTATTCACAAATAGATTTTAATTGAATCAAATTCAGACAATAGATTTAAAAAAAAAGTCATATTTTAAATGCTTTCAAAATAACTAGTTACCTGGCAGAATTTAAAAGATATATAAATTTGTGTGTGTGCTTGCATGTGTATTATGTATTTTCCCCTCAAGCATAAAGAAATTACAGTGTTCCTCACCTGAGCACGCCAATTTTTATTAACTCAAGAAGTTCTTTCTTTTCTCACTGACAATGAATATAAATAACAGTTTTTCCTCCATATCCTATCTTGCCCTTTTAGTCCTGGGACTGTCTGCAGACAGTTTACAAAGTTTACTAGGCTGAGGAATGCTTTGAGTTGGGATATATTGTGCTAGCTGCATATACTCATTTAGTGATGGGTCACAGAGAAATGAAGTGACTAGCCCATAGTCACGCCAGAAATGGCAATGTGTAATTTAAATTCTGTTTTTTGAAAAAGAACATTAAGACTATCTAAACATGAAATACTAATAATTTTAGAGCGGTTTAAACATTTAAGAAGTATGTTCCCTAACAAATTCTGATAATTATAACCCAAGATTCCTTCACAAATATTTCAAATGTCCAAAATAGACAGGAACTTTAATGGAAATATATTTCTCTCTCTGTGTATATGAACACATACATATACAAATTCATACACACACATATACACACACATAAATATACTTTATGTGACTGTACAAAGTAGAGTTTCAGTTACAACATTTTGACATAAAAGCAGTAGTAAGCCACCAAAATGACGTTTATTTTCTATAGTTTTGTATTGGAAAATATGAGTTAAACAAGGATATTGGGACTGCTTCACTTAGAAATCCTCTTTGAACACATTACACTTTAAGCTCTTGGAAATTCATTTAGTATAGTTTAAAATGCCAATTTCTAAAGTGTAAAAAGTTAATAATCCCTCTTAAATCAATAGTTAGGATCTGACATAATATATTCAATAAATATAAACTGTTAGAAATGGTCTATACCACCCACTGCACAGCAGTGAAAGAAATAATGTAAGACAATTACAACCATTATATTTTACTTGATTTTGAAGAATTGTTAACTAAAATATCAAATATTTGGAAAATATATATCTAATGTCACCTATACTCCCATTCTCCTAATGGCAGCCCTCTTAGCATTATGGGATCATTAAACTTTATATTTCAATTAGTTAACTTCTAAAATACTTTGGATGGACGATTTCTTTAGAGACCACTTTCATTCACTCATTCATTTTAAGGTTTTACCAATTCTACTTTTTTTTAATTCGCAAGACAAACTTGAACTGTTCTCTCCTCTCCTATATTCACAATGACTAGTTTTATAAAGGTCCTTGCAATTTTCAATTGATACAACATATCCTAGAAAAAACAGGTATTCAAAATTTTGTTCTGTATAACTTTTAAGTAAAGTTTTGGTAGGCAGAATAAAGTAACTTCATAATTCTTGTAATATTTTTAGTGAGATAAACCTATGCAAAATTTCACAAACTATTTTCAAAAGTATGTATTGCAATTTTCTCTCTCTCTCTCTCTCTCTCTTTTGCAATTTTCTCTTTTAATAACACTTTACTAAGCTTTAGGCAAAGCTGTTTCCTTTTGGCTTTAAGTTCTTTCTGAGCACATATTGAGGACAGACAAATTAAATGATTCAGTTCAACCAAGCACACTGCTCCACTCAAGGTATGATGATTGAGATGTAAATATCTATTAGAATTGTGCCATATATCATATTAATTATTACAACTATCTACTCTATTCTTCTTTTATATATATAAGAGATTTTTACTGCCTAAGGTATTATAACATTCTCCTTCAAAGTCTGAGCATAGAATGGGCACGTGGCCAAAGTTATTCACTTATTGAATGCTGTATTTGTGTGTTAGCTCACAGACACCATTCTAATTAGGGGTCTTAATATTTCTATTTTCTTCTTAAAAGAAATAGACAAAATGAATATTTTGACTATATTTAGATCATGATAACTAAATATAACAGTTGTATAAGTGGAATTTTCAATTTAATGCAGTTTTTTTTTTTTTTCAAGGCACTGTCTTAGAAAATTAGCATTTAGTGCTAAGTTTTCTAGTTAAATATTTATGGCTTTATTGGGTAGAGTTTGGTGTTTTGAATTAAAAAAAAGCCTACCTCACAAAATTGTATTATAAATATATTAATGATTCTTTATTTTTCTAAGCTACTGATATGTGAGGTTTATGAAAACACCAGGCTAAAACTCAGCATACCTCTATAGTCTTAAAAAATCATAAACTTGGACAAATCACTCCTCTCTTGGCTTCATTTTGTACAGAAATTTTCTCAACAGGAGAAATTTTACTCCATGGTGACAAAGACATAAGGGGAAGTTATGGTTGTCATCACAATTTCTAATAATTTGCTTTTTCTCATTTCTTATGTCCACCTATAACTCTAATAGATTGAACATCCCGTCAAAAAGGGGGAGTGGTTGCTGCAATGTTCTTATGTACTTGTGTTTCAAAACAAGTTAACATTCACTCAAATGTAGCTTTATTGGACCCCTTGAGTTAATGATCTTAAATGTATAGCCTACCATTTTCCACTTTTTAGGGCATGGAGAGTTTGATCTACTTCAGCAAGGCTGCCATTTCAACTCTCTTCATTACAATATTTAATTAAATTCTTCATTATTTAATGCCTTAACACCACATTCATCTCTAACAAAGCCACTGCAATTTCATGACCATAAACTCCCCTCTATATAACATATAGTATCAAAATGTGTTTTGAAACACGTTTTTATAGAATAAAACATGTTTTTATTTTGTTCCTATCATGGTAAAGCCTAGGGTCTTTGAAAGAATAATCTCTGGGACTGAAGATCCCTGGAAAAGTTTTAGAACCACTATACTCAAGTCCTAGTTCTTTAAGAATCTTTCTTCTTTCTTGGTGATTATTATAAATAAAAATCACCTTTCTACTACAAAAGTCAAGAGAAAATGAATGAATGGACCTGGATTTTCCTTTTCTTTTTATATTATTAGCCTTTAAGAGGATCTCAAAATATAAAGAGAACTTAGAATAAAACAAGATGAACTTGTTTTACTATATTCATGTATATTATATAAATATCAACCTGCAATAAAAGCATCAAGCCTTGTTAAGGCTTTCATATAAAATTTTTTATTCTCTTTAATTTTTAAGATCAATTGCTCATACAGGTTTCTTTTAAGGATTTATTTTGGGGATTACTTTTCTTATATCCAATTGCACACAAAAAGGAGAAAATGAACTCTGTGAAGAATATCTCAGTATTCCAAATTCTACTAGGTTTGAGAATATTTCAAACTCAGTGCCTTGTCCAAAACATTTTCATTAGCATCTGCCTTTAGGACTACAGAAAGACTGGGTATATATTAACAAAGAGCAAATTATTTTTTCCAACTGTTGTAACTAGTAATAAAAGGAAAAATTCTCATTCAATACTCATGAAAACTTTACTTTGAAAAACTAATCATCTAAAATCAGATATTAAGACAACATACTGCCAGAACTGTCTCTCTCCATTACTTTATTCAGCAACAAGGCCTTGGCAGTCAGTCTTTGTACTTTTTGTCAACTTTACCAAGCAAAGAACAATTTGCATCCAGTACTAACTTATCAACAGGTTGGAAATATTTGTCTATTTCCTACTCCTAAGCATGTTACTAAAAGTGATATTTAAAATTAAATAATCAGAAACTGGATCCAAATATATCCTCATGAAAATGAAAATAATGTAACATGGAATGCCTTCATTTGAAGCTAATGTTACAGAAAGGGAAAATACCCAGAACTCAAATCTCTCTCTTTATTTATAAATATTTGCATCACTTAGTTTTGGATAAGTTTAACAAGAATACACATTATTTCTTTTGGGGATGACAGCAAAATTGACAAACAGTCCCTGTTATGCCTGTCATTATGTTATTGCTAAATCATCCACAATATCATGACCTGATTTTAGTTACCAGGGACATAGCGAAAACATGGAATTTAAGTATCATTCTGATTACATACAAATAGCCAGCACTTAAGAAAACCTATGAAGAGTGATCTATGTCCAGTAATTAAAAAAAAGAAAAAAATGGAAGGAAGGAAACAAGGGAGGAAAGAAGGAAAGAAGGAAGGAAGGAAAGAAGGCAGAAAGACATCTTTAAAAGCCTAACACAATTACACAGTAGGCCTCTGACATTCTCTATGCTGGTATAATAACTAAATGGCAAGTAACACAGAAACAGTTATCCTTGTGAGATTCCTGTTGCATGCTTTAATTATAACTAAAAATTTACAACAAAATCAACCCTTGGGTAAATTGCTCTTTGGTTTAAATCTTCATTACCTCCTGGAATTTTGGTAAAATCACTTTGTTTTTAAATTAAGCCGGTCCCTCCTTCTTTACTCCATTACAGAAGTCAAACAATAAGAACCAGACATTAATTTTAGAATGAAAAGAGTTTTGTGTATATGTGTGTTTGTAAGTCCAACCCCTGTATACAAACTGTTAAAAAACAGATGTTTTAACATAGTGCTTTATTCCAACTTAATCTCATCCTTGAATGAACTTCCTTCAAGTTTCAACCATTAAAAAAAAAAAAAAAAAAACAGTCAATTTCCTGGTGGTTGTAATTTAATTAAGTAACCTTTCACACTGAGCAAAAACCCAAAAGCAAAAGGGTCATTAATCTTTCTAGTGATTAGAGACACCTCTAGAGCTTCAAACATTTACCTCTCCTTCCCCGTAGTAGAAATGCTTTTAGGAGGATCATGGTTCATACCTCGCATTCCCTGGAGCCAGAGATGGTATATGTGCAGGGCCCAGATCCATTAACGGATATATCCATGGTCTCAGAGTTTGTAGGCTTGTAGTCCACATAATACTCCTGTAAAGGGGAATTCATTTGTCTTTCAGACTCTCTGGTCTTTTTCCGCCGCCTCTTCATAAGAGAGTGTTGCTGAAGTTGTTTCATGCTGGCTGGGTAGCGTTTCCAAGACACATAGATTACCAAGAGGATCATGGCCACCGAGAGGAAGAGAGCCACACTCCCTGCAATAATTTTGTGAAATGAAACATGCTCATATTCTTGCTCTGTGCCAGGAATCTGAAACCCTGGGGAAGGGCTTGGTGTTTCAAGGGTGGGCTGGGTGGGGTCAGATTTGGAAAATGTAGGTTTAGGGATAATCAGAGGCTTCTGGGGCGTTTGGGGTACCAGGTGTGATTTTTCTGTGTTGACCACCTGAACTTCAGAGCAGATATTATATGTTTCCACTGCATCACTAACCTTTTCACCCTGGATATGCTTAGGTCCTGCACATATCATGGTGCTTTCCTTATTTCCTTTGAAATTCTTAAGCCAATAAAATAGAGGACAAATGCTCCGACTGCATTCCCACATATTTCCAGACAAAGTGATGGATATTAATGATATCCATGCATTGACAGTTTCCTGTGAAATGTTGGTAAGCTTGTTGGAATCCAAATTCAATTTTTGCAAATTGGGTAGACATTTAAATGTGCCCGGCTCAATTCCTTGGATGTCATTCCCTGATAAATCCAAGTTGTGTAAGGAACTCCAAGTCCATGTCAAGCCTTGGCTAATGGAACGAATCCTGTTCCACTGTAAGTAAATTGAGCGGAGATTGAAGAGACGTGGAAAATGAGCAAAATTGATCTTGGAAAACTGATTGTGCTCCAAGTGGAGCTCCTTCAACTTCAAGAGGCCAGCAAAAGCATTTCGGGACAAGCTTCGAAGACGATTGTAACCCAAATCCAGAAAGTCAAGATTTCGACAGTCTTGAAAAACTCTTATCGGCACAGTCTTTAATGAGTTAGATCTCAGGTGCAAAATGATGAGTTTCCGAAGACCTTTAAATTGTTCCGATTGCAATGTCTGAAGTTTATTGTAGGAGAGATCCAGATTGCGGAGATTGGGAACCGGGTGAAATGTTTTATTGTGCAGATAGGTAATTTTGTTGGAGCTTAGAATTAATTCTTTCAGTCTACGGATCCCTTGAAATGCATCTTCATCCACTGAGCTAATGTAATTATGGTCAAGATAAAGCCATATAAGCTGGTTAAGGCCGGCAAACTGATTGGATTTGAGTTTCTGAATGCTGTTGAACCTTAATGATAAGCCTTGTGACCCTCCAGAAATGTTCTCAGGGATATCTGCGAAAGCATGAGACTCACAGTATACAATTTTGCCATCACATCTGCAGTTCTTTGGGCAAGCTCTCTGAGCCCCCGTGAGCATAACAAGCAGAAGTGTAGGAAGGAGCACTAGCACCACACGCATGCCTCTCAGCTGCGTAATTAAACGGAAACCTACAATATTAAAAAGAAGACAAATGCACATTGTAAAGCTATTAATATAAATCACCACCAGCTTACCCGCTATCAGGGGCATTTCATCTAGTGTAGTAATGAGACAGTTGATATAAGAACAATGTATTTAACATCTGAAGTCTTATTTTCTTCAGTGTTGCATGTTTGCTATAATGAGGTTTCCTTCTTTCTTCCTTGATTTTCGAATCACCACAGTGCCGTGGAGCTAAAGAAAAGCCTTCCCGAGTTTCATGAGTTCATATGTTCATCAACACTGAAAAGCACACAGCTTGTCTTATCCCTTAATGCCAACACTGTAATAACAACAATATTTGGCTAGTCACTCTGTTGAACATCAGTATCAGAAGGAAGAGTACCAAGTCTTCTGGTAATGGCAAAAATGTGACTTAGAAAACCCCATACTTGAACATCTTTCCTAGTTGAGCAAACAGGCTTTGATTTGACAAAAGAGCTTCAGTAAGCTGTCAAGGTAACCCAAGTTTGCCCTGCCTGAAATTGTATCCTTATTGCATAATGGAATAACAATGCATGAGCTCTGAAAAAATGGCATCAGGACTAGTATGGACAGCCAATGAAGCATAGTATGAAGACTAATAACAGTGCAAGGTACTCTCAATGTGTTAATAAGCATATATGCTCTTAGCATTCAGGAAGATCTGCCTACTGTGCCTCCAGGGATACACCAGCTCAGAACCCTAACTGCTGATAACGCAGAACAGTCCAAAGTTAAGATTGTCAAATTCTTATTAAATATTTGCATAAAATGCAAAATAATCTTGTGTAGTATTAGTTTTACTGTTATTTTTAAGGTAGTCGTTTTTGCAAATTTGGGGGATAAACAAGGAGTGAAGCAGTAGACTACTACCCCCACTCTCCTCCATCCGGACCTGCACAAATTTCTCACTGACTTTTTTTTCTTTCTCTCCTACCTCTATTAACTTCAGAAAACCTGCAAAGTTGCAATGTACTGGCACTGGTGCTGCATTTCCAAGTCACAGCATGGTAAGGGATTTCTTTCCTCTGTCAACAGTGGATTTATTATTTCTTAGCGGTTGG